ACATACCTCAAAAATGCATAACATTAGATAACTAAGGATATTAACTAAACAGTACTGAGGGGTAAACAAGGAAAAAAGAAAAAAGTTAATATTCCTTCATTAGGAGTACGTTCTAAAGTAGCTCATCAGATGCTTCTACTTTATTTGAATATTTCTTTCTGTTTCCTCTATGTAGTGCTTAAAAAACCATAACTTCAGTCAATCAGTAAACAGGATCTTTTTTTTTTTAGAAAAAAGGACAAAGACAAAATCTACTCATCGAGGGAAAGATAGCCTATTTAACCTATGGTACCAGCAAAACTGGTTAACTGTTTGCAAAAAACTGAAACAAGATCCATATCTCGTACTACACACAAAAGCTAACACAAGGTAGATCAAGGACCCAAACTCAAAACCTAAAACTATAAAAAACATCAAAGCAAAAATAGAAATAGGGAGTTGCACTATTAACTCAAAATCTATCGCAGACAGACTTTCAAATATAACTGAAAATGCATAATCAACTGAGGATAAACTAAATATTGAGACCTCCCAAAAAGTAAATGCTTATGTGCACTAAAACAATTCCCCAAGGTTGTGGGGGAAAGAAAAGAGTGTTTACAGACTGGGGAAAAGTATTTGGCAATGAGATATCTGACAAGACTCATCTTTAAAACTTACAGAAAACTCTAACAACTTCACCAGAAAAAAAAAGAAACACTTCAATTACAAGATGGACAGAGGACATGTTGCTATTGTCATTGTTATTGGGTGCTACTGAGTACGACCTATAGCAACCCTATAAACAACAGATCTGAACCCTGTTCTACCCTGTGTCATCCTCACTCTTCCTGACACACTAGAATCCATTGTGGCAGTCACTGTATCAATCCACCTGGTTGAGGTTTTTCCGTTCACTGACCCTCTGCCTTTCCAAGCATGATGTCCCTCTCCAAAGAAGAGCCTCTCCTAGCAACATGCTCAAAGTATGCAAGGGGAAGCTTTATTGTCTTTGCCTTTAAGGAGCACTACGGCTGCACCCTCTCCAAGACATATTTGTTTGTTCTTTTGATGGTCCATGAGAACTCTTCTCCAACACCACAGCTCAAAGACATCAATTCTTCTGTCATCCTTATTCATTGTCCAGCTTCCAAATGCATAGTAAATGATCAGAAAGACTATGACCTGAATTAGATGCACCTTAGTTCTCAAACTGTCATCACTGCTTCGCAATAGTTTGGAGAATACAGAAAACTCCAACAACTCCACAAGAAAAAGAGAAAACACTCCAATTATAAAATGGGAAGAGGATATGAATAGACACTTTATCAAAGATGATATTCAGATGGCAAAAACCCACATGAAGAAATTCTGAGACAGTAAATTGCATAGGAGAACATCGTTCATCTTTCTCTTAGAGAGCTACTAGGGGATCTGAACTCTCACAGAGGCATGGACTTTGGGTTAGCAGCAAAATTCCCTGCAGGCTACACCACCAGAGCTCCCTCATTAGCTATCAGAGATGTACTTCAGCTCAAAAATTCAGGTCACAACTGTCAAGGCAGAGTCAACTCGTAGCTGGTCCTCCAGAGTGTTTTCTAAGACTATAAATAGCACAAGAGATCTCCCACTTTCCTCACAAGAAGCCAATGGTGGGTTAAAACCACAGGGAGACATCATCTTGCACAACTCCCTATAGAGTACATCACAGTTCTCTACGATGGGAAATTAAGAGATACAAATCAAAACAACAATGAAGTATCATCTCACTCCAGCAACAATAGCAAAGTTCAGTAGGATAGCCAACAACAAATGTTGGAGAGGGTATGGATAGATATGAACTCTCATACACTGCTGACGGAAATGTAAAATGGTACAACCATTACAGAAAGCAGTTGCGGCACTCCCTTAAAAAGATGGAAATAGAAATACAATTTGAGTCAGGAATCCCACTACTAAGTATCTATTCTAAAGAAATAAGAGCTTTAGCATGAGCAGATAATATGCATACTCATGTTCAGTGCAGCGTTATTTAAAGTAGCAAAGAGATGGAAACAATTCAAATGTCTATCAACAGAGGAATGGAAAAAGAAGCCATTGTACAGTCACAATGGAATACTATGCAACAGGAAAACACAAAGAATTCTGAACCCACCAAGGGTACATCCAGAAGACAAAACCCTGTGAGTGAAGTATGTCAGTCACAAAAGAACCGATACTATGTAAGACCACTATTAAAAAAACATAAAGAATTACATACAGACAGAATCATTCATTGATGCTTACTAGTGATGTAAAGACTGAAAATCAGTAAGTAAGACAATGTTGTTATGTGTGGTCAAGTTGGAACCAACCCACAGCTGACCATCCAGCGGGTTTTCAAAGGCAGTAAATTACATGGGAGGAAAGTGCCCATCCTTCTCCCGTGGAGCACCTGATGGATTTGAATTGTGTGCCTTTGGTCCGGCAGTGCAGTTCCTTACCATTAGTTCTTCCTAAATAGAAAACAGACAGAAGTTGGGAAAGTGCAATTAAATCCTAAGTATTGAAACTGTTATAAAACAAAATGTGCATGAATGGCTCAAATGAAAATTTGCTCTGTATTCTTCACTCAAACTACAATCAAAGAAAGTTAAATGTTGCTTGGGGAAAGAGGAAAGTTCTCTTATGCTTATTAAACTCACTAGTAGGATGATATACTGGTGCTAAGAATATTAGCAATGCTCTATCTGAGAAAGACAAATGGTTTAGTCCAAATCAAGAAAAAAGTTTATAATTATCAGAAACAAGTTTACAATTATCAGTCTACATGTAACCACCTGTAAGTCCATTCATGTCTTTAACCACCTTATAAAGATCCTAAAACCTTCCTCTATTCTTATCATTTTATTATTTTTCTTATTAAATCCCCTTAAGCATTTATTCATAGTGTTACTCAAGCTTTAGATGGGGCAAATCCCACCAGTGGCTAGTACTCTTCCTCTTCTTAACCTATAAAGACAGTATCCTCTAACTCATCTCTATTTCATCTAAGTTTTCTAAATAATTTCTTAAAAAATAAAAAACATATTCTGGCATTCTAAAACCACAGCCAAGGCTTCACAGGGTTTTCAGTTAAAATCAATTTCTCATCTATGTAGACCACACAACATTTCCTACATGTTACAGAAAAGAATTTTTTACAGCTAGAGTCTTTTAACCAGTGTTGTGTCAATTAAATAGGATTTGTTCATCATCTCTGGTTGTCTTCAGCTTCAAAAAAATATTCAAAATTCATTGTCCATAGGTAAGAGTTCTCACAGCAACACACTAAGTTACAAAAAGACGAAAAATGTTTATTGCTTTACAACAAGCCAGCAACAAATACACCTGAACGATTAAAAACATGACATTTCTAAATTCTGAGTAGAGTGACAAAACCAGAATGTGCTCCTCTACCTAAAATTTATCAGTTAAAACTGAAATCCACCCTTTTGCTAAGAACTTTAATATTCTCAAGTATAATCAGTGCTTATGGAGACAGAGAAAATCATTATCAACTTAAACACCTGGCTGATCACATCACTTAAGTATTTTATGTTCAATTTAGGTGACCATGCCAGACACTTTTATAAACCTAGTTTTATTCTATAAACTCTTAAACAGAAAGAATTGTCAACAAAATTGTTCTAAGATCCAATAACGAGTCATTCCCACTTTCTCTCTTCAGAATTGAAAAACTAGTCAAGTTTTCCTTTGACCTGAAACAAGCTCTGCTAAATATCCTATGATGTAACTAGGAAGCCCACCTTAGTATTAGGCTTTAAAGAGTGATGTTTACAAATACTTCAAATTATTCTGGAAATACTAGCACATTCTTCTTAATGAGTGCCAAATAACTATGGATTAAGTCACCATCTTAGTAATTTCAACTGAACAAACAACAGCAAGTTTCCTATATTCTTAGTATTATATGACATGGGAAGAAGGGCAACAGGATTTAAGCAGCTTACCTTAAATTATAAATATTTATTTTGGAATAGCTACCAACAATTTGAAATTTTTCACTCTACAAAGGGAAAAATAAATCAAACTAAATTAAAAAATAAATTCACTCTATTTCTCTTTCACACAGAGCGTATGTCTCAAAGAATGCACTAATTACTGTGGGGGGGGTTATGCTCAGATCAAAATGTCTAGCTGGCTACTAAAAAAAGGGAGGAGGACTTCATAGGTCAAGACTGTATTACATGAAGTATAAACTCAAGTTGTGCATAAAGACAATTTTTAAGACTAACACAGGTTTGCTGCAATAGCAGAATGTTAAGGCAACATCAAAAAGCACATGTGTTTTAAAATATTAAGCCCTAACCGCCATCTAATAAAGAGCCAATAAAAAAGACCTTACTGAATTCCTTATTACGAGAACTTCCTATAATCTGTTTGCAATTGATTATCTTTTTTTGTATTTTGGTGGCAGTGAGAAAAAATGCTGTATCTTGCAACTCCCTTGCAAAAATATTCAAAAACAAATTCACTCAGAAGGCTTAAATAAGGAATATGTTATTTTTTTGCCTTTACTTAGCAATTGTCCTTTTTAATTATTTCTGTATTATCAATCCAGGTTTTAGCTGAGTCTGGATGGCTAACTTGGGAAAATAGCAATGGTCTTATCTAGAAGGATCACATATAAAACAATAAATTTCTTGATCAATACATCAGTATAAGCAAAAAAAGGACTTTACCAATAAATACATCAGGATAAGCAAAAAAAAAAAAAAAAAAGGACTTTACCAAGAGACTGACACACTTGAAAAAACTGAAACAGAGAATTACAGAGCAAATTCACTGAAACAAAGAAAATTCTGTCCTGGACTTTTTAGCCCCCAGTAGTGTTTCCCTTCTAGTACACCACACAAGTGGTTAGGAAATGAAGCGAGGTGTTTAGCATCTGAGCATCCTAACTACTTTAAGAGGCACTGTGCTCACCCCTCACTGGCAACCACTGACATAAACAAGGCCAGGGGTGGAGGAAGAGCCTCCTATTTGTCTACATAAGCAGCTGCTGTTTCCTTATTAAAACCACGGATGGAGAGATCATAGACCACTTCTTCTACTTTTTTCACATCATACTTCAGGCCATCATAGCGTTTCCTCAATGAATCATTCTTCAAGTTGAGGAGGCGGAAACCAGAATCCAGCTCATTGATGAAGGTGGAGATGTGAAGAGGTCGAGAGTAATCTCCAGCAGTCACGCTGTTGACTGACAGTCGAGACTGCACAAGCAAAACAGAGTACATGTTACAAGGCTCAAGCTAAGAACATTGCCCCAATCCACAGCTATGAGAGAAAGTTAAGACATATACAGCAACATTTATTCTGCACACAAAAACAGATGAGATGTAAACTTCGCAACTGAAAAGAACTCTGAAGATGAAACTATTTTAGCAAAAGTAATTATTTAATGCAATTAATAGCTAAGATTTATTTTTAAAATTGACTATTGTACACTAAGGAAGCAGGAGAGGCATCCACTTCCTAAACAACATGCCTCCAGAAACTCATTACCAACTTTGATAAATGTCGATAATTTTAGAGGGGCTTCAGGTGACTATGAGTCGTACTCAACTTGAAGGCAATCAACAACATTGTACACTAAAGAGTGCTAAGCTATTAATGTCGTCAACTTTAGTTTTTTCTGCTCATGTACAAAGGAAAAAAATGCCAAAGTAACAACAGTCTTTATGCTCTCTAATCAAATTGAGGCCTAGTGACTACACTTTCAGAGTTCACGTGAACTACTAAAAAGCAGTTAAGCTAAAGAAGTGATTTAAAAAGTCAGTACACTTTGTTTACAATAGCAAGGAGTTGGAAACAAACTAAATGCCCATCAACAAACTAAAGGGTAGAGAAGCTGTGGTATATTCGCACAATGGAATACTATGCTGCATTGAAAAACAAGGAACTCATGCAATATTACTCAAAATGGGTGACCCTGGAGGACATTATGCTGAATGAGGTATCTCAGTCACAAAGGGACAAATGCTATATGGTGCCACTGTTGTAGA